GCCGAGGGGTGCTCCGGCGCCTGCCTGGCCGGATGGCGGCGCCGGCAGCGGTGGGCGCGGGGCCTCCGATTCCCGACCACTGCTGTTGCCCCCGGAACGGGGAACGGCTGCCACGTCCCCCCCGTTTACCAGCCTCGAACGTATCCCTACCCCTAAGATTGACACGCCAAAAGGCGATGACAATCTTAGGGATGCGCCCTCAAAACATAAGGGAATCCCTACGGTTGGCATCGTGATGAGGAGATGCCCAGCATAGGGATAGGGATACATGTTCCAGGCTGGTAACCCGTGGAGGGTGGGACGCTCGGGAACAAAAGAACGTTTACCGGGGAGGTACGGCCCCAGGGCCACGGACCCTGGCGCGAGTTGCGAGTGGCCCGTGCTGTGCTGTGCTGCGTCGTGCTCTGCTGGACTGTGCTGCGTGGGGCCCATCCAGGAGGCGATAGTCACGAGGATCTGACAGGTGCGCTCTCGGAGCCTCCTGGAGCATCCTGGGGCGTCCAGTTTCCTCAAACTCTACAACAAGCGTTTCGCTCAGGACATCATCAACGCGTTCCTGGAGACACCCTCAAACTCTGCAAAAGAAGCGTCTTGCCTAAGACAGCCTCAACAAAACATGTAAACAAGCGCTTCGCCTGAGACATCTTCAGCAACATAATTCGCCGGCCCTACGCGACCTGGATAGGTTTGCCGGACATACGTAAATTGAGCGCTGGGGACACCTTGTAAACTGAAAAAGAATAATGGGCCCACGCCCTTGCCCAGAAAAGCCACTGGTTGTCCGTAGTTTTTCAAGGATTGTGTAAGCGTATTTTTTCAGTCGGCGTTTCGACATTGGGCGGAAAGGGTGCGGGAGGGGGAGGGTCTGGCTCCAGACCTCTGCTTAGTGCGACTGTTTGCAAGAGTGCTGCCTCCTGGGGAGACTCCACCCAGCCAAGGGGGCCCGCGCCGATCGGCAAAACAATCAATCAAAAAACAATCATGATGAGGTTCTCGCCTGTTTGGGTGTGCCACCACCAAAGATGGCCCAAGAGGCCTCCAAGATAGCTCCAAGAGGCCGGCAAGAGACCCCTCAAGAGGGCCCCACGTCGGTCCAAGAGGCCCCCAAGAGGCTCCCAACAAGCCCCCAGAGGCTCCAAGGAGGTCCCCAAGCGGCCCCCAAGACGCTCCAAGAGGTCCCCAAGAGGCCCCAAAGACGCCCCTGGAGGCTCGTAAGACCGCCAAGAGACCCCCAAGACGTCCCAAGAGGCCTCCAAGAGGCCCCCTAGGCGCCCAGAAGGCCCCCAACAGCCGCCAGGAGGGCCTCAGGACGCCCCAAGAGGCTCTGAAGAGGCCCCGAGAGACACCCTGAAGATAGACTCCAAGAGGCATCCAAGAAGCATCTGGCCAACGGAGGCTCCCCGAGCTTTCAAAAATATGCCGTGCTCCCCCCGTTAAGGGCAGCTCACCTGGGCATCGTTCCTGGATGGGCTGGTGGGGATACGCGAAGAGTGAAACATTGAAACCCTGTCCGGCTACGCTAATGAAACATTGGAACCCTGTCCGGCTTTGCCACAAGCAGCAAAAAATTTATCACCGTCGTCGTCATGATTATCACCATCATCGTCATCGCCATCGCCGGCAAACTCATCAGCATCACCGTCATCACCATCGCCATCATCGACATCATCGTCGTGGTCATCATCACCACCATCACCATCGTCGTCATCGTGTTCGTTCCGGTCCTCACATTCATCCCTAGGACCTCACCGTTCATCTCCTGTTATACTGAGCCTCGAAGGGAAGGGGATCCCAGGAAGACGGGACGAAACACCGGCGTTGCAGCGACGCCCACGCCTGGCCGAACCGAACCGACCGCATGCAGCCCGACTGCAACGCAGCCGAGATGAACGAATCGATGACAGATTGGTGTCCCCCGCACGGACGGGAAGAGCGCTGGAAGTTAGAGAAACCAAACAATACCGATACCGCTGCTCTCAGGACCTCTCCCGGAGTGCCCTCTGACCGGGGTTTCGAAGCGAATCCGGCGGTGGCGACGGAGGCCTCTCAAGAGGCGCAAACAGGGGAAGACGATCGAAGGGCAGCGGTATGGGTACCCTTTCCTCCACTGAAGAAGAGAGATGCGGCGCGCCCACGTGGTGGTGTTCGTCTCCGCGTTGTGAAAGTAGTTGCGGTTGTGGTCGGCGCTCCAGTGCCTCACCCCCCCGGTGGGCCCCATCCCGCGGGCCGTGGCTGCTGCGCAAGCCCGCTCCCACCCTCCCCCTACGACCCGCCTCCTGAGCTTGGGGGGCCATCCCACCCCTCCTGCGCCTCCTGCTCCTCCTGCTCCTCCTCCTCCTCCCCCTCCTCCCCCTCCTCCTCCTCTTCCTACTCCTCCTCCTCTTTCCTCTCTCCTCTCTCCTCAATCCTCTCTCCTCTCGCCTTTCTCTTCTCTCTTCTCTCCTCTCTCCTATCTCCCTCTCTCCTCTCTACTCTCTCCTCTCCCCTCCTCTCTCACTCTCCTCTCTCCTCCTCCTCCTCCTCCTCCTCCTCCTCCTCCTCCACCTCCTCCTTCTCCGCCTCCTCCTCCTTCTTCTCATCCTCCTCCTCCGCTCCGCCTCCGCCTCTTCTTCCTCCTCCTCCTCCCCTCCTCTCCTCCTCCTCCTCCTCCTCCTCTCTCCGCCTCATCTCTCCTCATCTCTCCTCCCCTCTCCTCCTCTCTCCTCTCTCTCCTCTCCTCCTCTCCTCCTCCCTCCTCCTCCTCCTCCTCCTCCTCCTCCTCCTCCTCTCTCCTCCACTCCTGTCCTTCTCTGTTTTTCTCCTGCTGAGGTCTCCTCATCTCTCCTCCTCTCTCCTCCTCTCGTCCTCCGTTATCCTCTCTCTCCTTCTCTCTGCTCATCCTCCTCCTTCTCCTCCTCTCTCCTCCTCTCTCTGCTTCTATCTGCTCATGTCTCCTCCTCTCCTCCTACGCTCTCCTCATCTCTCATCCTCTCCTCCTCCTCTCTCCTCCTCTCCTCCTCATCCTCCTCCTCCTCTCCTCCCCCGGCCTCCTCCTCTCCCACATCCTCCTCCTCCTCCTCCTCCCTCTCCTCTCCTCCTCCTCATCATCATCAGCATCAGACCCCAGACCCAGCATCAGCATCAGCATCAGCTCAGCATCAGCATCAGCATCAGCATCATCATCATCATCATCTATCATCATCATCAATCAATCATCTAATCATCATCATCATCATCATCATCATCATCATCATCATCATAGTCCGCATCATCATCATCATCATCATCATCATCATCATCATCATCATCATCATCATCATCATCATCATCATCATCATCATCATCATCATCATCATCATCATCATCATCCTTATCCTTATCATCCTCATCCTCATTGTCATCCTTATTCCAAGCCGTTCAAGGCGCAACGTTCTTATGCCCCAGCGCCTTACTTTGCTTTGGGGCAAAAAACTGATATGGCTACTGATGGTCCCTCTCCCCCATCCCCGTGCCGCCACAGCGGAACTTGACGCAGCAGCGCTTTCGGTTCAGCCCCGGCTGTGGCGACGCCAGGGGCAGGACGTCGACGACGACGACGACGACGACGACGAGTTCGACGACGACGACGACGACGACGACGAGTTCGACGACGACGACGACGAGGAAGTCGAGGGCGAGGACGAAGACGACGGCGACGACGTCGTTCTGTTGTCAACGATTCGGCCCTTCCGGAAGGGTCCCCAGGCTTTGCCATCGTCAGAGACGGTCCTCCTCTTCCCCCTTTTCCCCCTCCCTCCCCTTCTACGCAAAGTCAGCCGGCAAGTGCGACTCATCGCACCAGCGCCAATGAGACTTGCAAGCCGAGACCGGATCCAGATGCAATCTCTGTGCCGGACAAGCAAGATCAATAGGACGAACCAAACCAACCACAGCCAGTAGAGCAAGCGCGGCAGACCAACCCGGCGAACAAACCAGACCAACCAGACGAACCAGACGAACCAGACCAGACAGACCAACCAGACCAACCAGACCAGCCCGACCAAGCAGACCAGCCAGACCAACCAACCAGACCAGACCAGCCTGACCAGCTGACCAGGCCCGACAGAACAGACCAGACCAGCCAGACGAGCCAGTCCAGCCAGACCAGACCAGGCCAGACCAGGCCAACTGGACCAGCCAGACCAATCAACCAGACCGGACCAGCCAGACGAATCGGACAAGCCAGACCAACCAATCAGACCAACCAGATCGACCAGCCAGACCAACCAAACAAGGCAGACCAACCACCATCGTCCTCGTCGTGGTCGTCGTGGTCGTGGTCGCAGCCCTGTCTGCGTATCCATTTTTATGACGACAGGTTCATTCCTTTGGGAAGCAAGATTCAGCTGAAGTCGTCGTGGCCGTCGTCTTCCCGGTCGTCGTCGTCGTCGTCGCGGCCGGTCCTGGTCGCGGTCACAGCCCTGTCGAGTATAACTTTTCATGGGAACTGGCTCAGACGGCCCCAAGACGGCCCAAGAGGCCCCCAAGACGGCCCAAGAGGGCTCCAAGACGGCACCAAAAGGAGCGCAAGACCAGCGAAACCAACCAGACCAGCCAGACCAACCAGACCAGCCAGACCAGCCAGACCAACCAACCAGATCAGACCAGCCTGACCAGCTGACCAGGCCAGGCAGACCAGACCAGATGAGACCAGCCAGACGAACCAGTCCAGCCAGACCAGACCAGGCCAGCCGGACCAGTCAGACGAACGGGACCAGCCAGACCAACCAATCAGACCAACCAGTTCGACCAGCCAGACCAACCAGACCAGCCAGACCGACCGGACCAGACAAGCCAGACCAACCACCATCGCCCTCGTCGTGGTCGTCGTGGTCGTGGTCGCAGCCCTGTGTGCGTATCCGTGTGTATGACGACAGGCTCATTCCTTTGGAGAACGAGATTCAGCTGAAGTCGTCGTGGCCGTCGCCTTCCCGGTCGTCGTCGTCGTCGCGGCCGTCCTGGCCGCGGTCACAGCCCTGTCG